CCTCCCTGGCCCCCCGCCCCCCCCAGTCCCCATCCCGCGATGCCGCGGGGCCAGTTCTCCCCAGCAGCTCACGGCCGCGCTGGCTGGGCACCTCTGGGCAGAGGAAGGGTGGGCAAGGGGTCAGAGACCCAGACCTGGCCAAATCCCCCCCTTTCCCCTTCCAGCTCCTGCAGGGTGGGGGGACGCAGGCTGTGCGGCAGCGTCCGTGCTCCCACAGAGCACAAAGACCAGTGGGAGCGAGCTGGATCCCTGCTGGCTGCGCTGCTCTTCGTGCTGGAACGGGAAGAGGAGGAGGATGCGTACGCCAGGCGAGCACTGAGGCCACTGTCCAGAGCTGGTACTCGCTAGCAGAAGGACCCTGAGAATATATAGGCTAACACGGTCTCCCGGGGAACGCCGAGTTAGGTGCATCACAGTGATACTGGCTGAACGTGTTCTGTACAGCGCCAAACGGGGTTTGAGAAGCGCAGTATCCCTCCGCCTGCCCTTTCCTATCCCTTCCTAAAGGCAGAGGCTGCCACGGGGCGGCGAGAAGCCTCGTCACAGCCGCAAAAATCCGACTGACTTGGGACGGCCAAGTGAAAGTCAGTAGGTGGCCACCGGGAAAAATATTCCAGTTTATAAAAAAACAGGAAAGTAAGAGCAGGGCTACTGCAAGGTGCATCCTCAGAGGTACTGGGTCTTGCAAGCAGCGAACCCCCCCCTCCCCGAGACCCCAGGCAACCCCCGTCCCCAGCACTAAAGTATCTTCAAGCATCTCCAGAGATCACATCACCATTACTTCTGCTCAGAGAGACCTCAGCGATCATTTCGCTTCGAGTCCGTTTCGATGAATCAGATCAGCACCCACTGCTCGGGACGGCTCCAGCGTCTTCAGCGAGCTGGTCCGAGGGCCTGCGGACGGCAAACGCTGCTGTCAGGCGGGGTGGCGAGCTGGAGCTCTGGGTCCAGTGTGGCAAGGCTGATTTCAGACACGAAAGATACCCTAGGAGGAATATTTTTTTTTTCTATTTTTTTTTCTTTTTTTTTTTTTTCGGAGAAAGCCTTTGGTCATGAGATACTTGTGAGAAAGTGAGCCTTGTATGGAAGATTCCCCTGAATGCCTACAGTATTCTACATCTTAAAAAAATATATTGTGGGCGCTGCAGCCATACAAAGGGGGGAGGAGTGGGAGACGGGGATTTACAGTCTCACATAGACACAACGGGGAGGTTAAGACAAGCACAGTCATAGTCTGTAAAACTGATTGGCTCGCTCGGATCAGTCATCCTCATCGTCCTCTTCGTCTTCCGGATCTTCCTCTCCTTCATCCTCTAGAGTTCGTTTTCTCTTTTCCCCTCGTGGAAGGTCTGCAAAGAGAGGCGAAGCGTGAAGCCCTGCTCAGTCTTGCGGAACAGCATTCGAGCTGCAGCTTCACGCCGCGTCAGCCACGGCTGCTGGCGAACAAGCACAGACTGGACGGGCACCATTGCGGGGCGGAGGGCCACCCTGCCCAGCTTCTCATGGCACCCAGAAAAGCCTGGGCTAGCACGAGACACGACCTGTTTTCCACGCCCTCCTAGCAGCCCACATTTCAACAGCCGCTTGAAAACGGGCTTTTTTTTGTTGAGCACCCCCAAAAAACGTAGCACCTGCAGAATTCAGTCACGTCTGACCTAGCTCATATGAGATCACCCGAAGTCACGCCAGCCGCTGTACTCTGTGAGCACCCAGTCAGGTGCTCGCAGTTCGTTACACCCAGAGGAGCCGGGACTCGCCCACCCTCCTCCCTGCAGCTGAGCGGAGCGAGGGACGTGTTTCCTCACACACGCTGCTAACGCGAGCTCCCGCGACAGAAGCCCTGCTCCTGCACGGACTGTCGGTCCGAGCTCCTTAGAACCGGGTCTCTAGGCAATTTGCCTCTTTAATTTTGGCAGACTTACCCAGCTCGGTTGGTGCTAGGAGGTACTGAAACCTGTCTCCCCACCACGGCTGCGCGACCCCCTGGTTATCACCACTGCTCAGCATGAGCTGAGGCACAAGCGACAGCTTCAGCGGTGCCCGAAGCGGACACGCTGCACCTTCTATCCGGGAAAAGCTGCGGGCAACAAGGGCCCTGCGCTGAAGCCTGGGAAGCTCTACAAACCAGGCAAATGTGCGAGGCTGTGGAGACTGCTTTGCGAGCACTTGCTTTGTTAGGATTCGACTCACCATCATCAGCTTCATCTTCTTCATCGTCCTCACCATCTTCCTCCTCATCTTCCTCCTGGAGTCAAAACAAGACACTGTTGCAAGAACCGCCATCCCACGAGCAAGGTCTGATTCCACAGCAACAGCTTCCTTCTTCCTTCCCCTCTGCTCCCGCCATGCCCTAAGCAGGTACGAGCCCAGCAGAAGCCGCTGGCCCCTAAATAGCTTCCTGCATCCCCGCGAAGGGGGCTTACGGCTCTACTGCTTGAAGCCTCGGGGAGCACCAGGCCGAGCAGTAAGTCTGAACCGGTAAATTCTGTGGACCACGAGTCGAAAGGCGTGCGGGGGAAAGCCGGAGCGCGCGGCGGCACTCCTCAGAGCTGCCCACCGAGGTGCCCGTGCCATCGGGGCAGATGGGTCACCAGATTATGGGACAAACGCACCACCAAACACGGCAACGTGGCGCTGCAGCTTTATACCAATGACAGAGAGCCTCACCTCATCATCTACTCCGTCCTCCTCCTCTTCACCTTCCAGATCATCATCTTCATCTTCTTCATCATCAATGACTTCTTCATCCAAATCATCTTCCTCCTCCTCATCATCCTCTTCCTCCCCTTCTACCAAAAGGAGAGGTAGGTAAGTGTCATGGTTCCCAAATACTCGCTACTCCCAGACAATCCGCTTGCACCGCCAACCCCAGCGCTACGTGAGCCACAGGCAGGAATCAGACAGGACAGCACCCAGCCCCGTCAGCTGGTTCTTACGCAGCCTGCCGACGGAGGGAGTGGGGTCACACACACAGCCCCTACTTTAGCAGCAAGTTATAATCACCATTTACTTGGCAACATGATTATGCAGAAGGTGAAAAGGGGTTGTTCCCCAGCAAGAAAACCAAGAGGAGAAAATCCTCACCTTCCCCGTTCTCATACTCATCTTCCAGTCCATCCCCATCTGCTTCAGGGTCTGAGTCAGGGGCTTCCTGGTCGTCAGCGTCAAACCCGTCTAGGTAGGTGAGCTGGGGCAGAAGGGAGAACACGCTCTCCCGGTAGTTGATGAGCATCGTCACCTCACAGTTGAAGAGGTCCAGACTATGGAGGTTTGGCAACTTTTTCTGCAAAGATCAATTCATCAGATTATTTATAAGCTGGCACTGCTCGCAGGTCAGGCAGCCATCAGAGGACGGCCGGTTTGCTACCCAGGTCTAGCACAGCAGTGTCTCTGCATGCACCAGGTGCTCCTCAGATGGAGAGGAGTTACTGCTCTTGCTAACTGCAGGCAAAGAAGATTTCTCTTCAGCTCCTCCGTCCTAGCTTCACCTCCTTGGAAACAGCTCCCTGTGCAACCACTTGCAAACCTCACTCACTCCCTTCTGACTGGGGCAGGCAACAAGCACAGAAAGCCCAGCTCCCCGAGCAGGAGGAATCACTGGGCCGGACTCATCCTGCCCCAAACATCAGGTGAAATACCCGGGAGCGCAGCACGGGGAGCCCTGCCGACCGCGCCGCGGGCCTTTCGGCACAGCCCCAGCCGCTCTCCCGCTCAGGCCCGCGCACTGCACGCGGGCCAAGCAAAGGAGGAGTGAAACAGTTTCAAGCCCTTCCTGGAGGAACCAAAGGCAACAGCTAACGAGGCAAACGCCCCAGATCAGACCTTTCAGCTACGGAGTCGGGATCACAAGGCAAGAGCCTTCTCTGGGGCAGGTCAGAAGCAATGGGAACCCCCTGCAACGCACGCAGTGACAGCACCCGGGGCGAGAGGGTCCCAGCACAGCACAGCAGGGCCTTCGGACTGACGCAAGGGACACCCTCACCGGGGTCCGAGCAACTCATCTCCATGACACCCCAGGTGCCACCTACCTCAAACTGCATCCGACCCATTAACGGTCCTTTCTCAGATGGACACTGAGCACTGCATCCACAGTTTTACTCATCCAGCCCAATTTCACGCTTCTTTTAGCAACTGGCTGCTGGGTTTCCAGACAGAGGAGCCATTAACTATTAGCCCAGCCTCAAACCGGACCCACTCATCTGTCCCCTTCAGAACCACGAAGTGCTGTTGGAACAGTTACCAAGACGTTGGACTTCTGCCACACAGACGCGCTCCCCAAAGGAAACGACACCATCCCTTAGGTTCCAGCACAGCCTTCCACTCACCAAGGGCTCCAGCGTATTGATGTCTTTGATCTTGTTGCCACTTAGATTCAAGTGTGTCAGGTTAGGAGTTCTCTCCGCTAGAACTTCAAGGCCACCAGAAATCCTGTTATCACTCAGCTCCAGCTGCCAGAAGAGAATATCACACGGTCACAAAGTGTCTCGGCTCGCGATAAAATTTCCCTCAGAGCTGGGCTACAATGGGCACCCAAGCTCCAGACCCTGTCCGTTAGACCACTTGAAGCCCCGTTCCCGCGGTAACGCAGCACTCCCAGCCACCTCTGTACTGCGGGACACAAGGGTACACGTCCTCTTAGCTGTAACCACGTTCTAGAATCCAAAATATTTATCAAGTTACTGAAGCTTCTGACAGTAGCATAACAGCAAAAGCAGGAGAGAGAGGATGCTAAAGCTACAATGAGCTCAAAAGCATTCTGTCGCTTACTAAAAAACCACTCCTCTCACTTGCTCAGGTTGTAGGCTGCAGCAGAAAAAAAAGTATTCTGTCGCTTACTAAAAAAACACTCCTCTCACTTGCTCAGGTTGTAGGCTGCAGCAGAAAAAGCAAAATCAAACGGCCTTTTTCTGGCAAATGCAGGAAAAACAACCATCACCCGGGACAGGGCAGCAGAAGTCTCAGGGCAAGGACTGCTGGAGATGGGACCACCGGTCTGACTCACCTTCCGGAGCTTGTTAAGTTTGGGGAGGTTGGAGACAGACAGCAAGTTGATGTTGATCATGCTGAGGAACTCCAGGTTCTCGAAATCTGAGGAGAGACCAACGATCTTCCCATCGTCCGAGCGGCAGTTATCCAGGACCAGCTCCTTCACCTGCCAACAGAGACACCCAGCAGCCGTCAGCGCGCCCGGCTGAGCCTCACCTCGAGTCTGCCAAGCTGGCGTCGGGCGCAGTGACCGGCCCTTCCACGCAGAACGCGCGTCTGAACGCCCTCCTTACGCGCCGTAAGCGACAGGCAAGATCTTCAAGCCAAGCAGCTTTTGCGAGGGCACAAGGCGAGAACCCCTCGCGGTGGTTCGGACTTCACCCTTTCAGCACCAGCCGTACAACACGCGACCGCGGCTCCAACCAAGGTCCACCTTCTCCGCAAAGCAGCATTAAGCAGGTGAACCACGAGGCTGCATCGAAACGGTTCACGCGCAGGGCACCGAAAAGCTTTCCGAATCGCGTTTCAGGCTTCACCAACGGGAGGCCAAACCAGGTCACCTAGTTTTGTCCCCTTCAACCTCCCTCATGCCACTGGGGAAAAGCTGTCTCCAGAGGATTCGTTCCCCTGTGACAGTCTCTGCACGGAGGTGACACATCTGTCTCGGCCTCTGAGCAGATGAGCTCAACCTCAGGCTCGTAGTCCAGGACCGCCAGTGGCATCTAATATTTTGCCCAGCACAGGCTACACACACACAGAATCCATCACTGCCTGGTAATTCAGCACAAAAATCAACCCCCCCCCTGCCATCAGGACCATGAAGCACCAGCACAGAACTGCTTCCCCCCTAAACACCTGGAAGTTACACGTGCCTGGCACCCCCCTCTCCCCCACAGCGCAGGCGAGAGCTCGAGCCCCAGCTCTCACAGGCCAGCCCCAAAACTTGCTTTCACCCCACATGCTCCTCACAGCAAGGTGCAAAAATCAGCCTTGGCCGCGTGATGCTCTCCACGTTCCTCCTTCGCACCTCTCCCGCGCTCAGATCAGCCAGCATTTAGGGAATCCTTTTAAAATCACTTTCCCTTACCGGCAGCAGAGTTTCAGGGCTGCTGTGCCGCCCTGGCAGCACCAGCCCCAAACAAACCAACGCTTAAAAACTCCAGCAGCGGCACGGCCGGTCGGGGCTCCGAGTCGAGCAGCAAGCAGGCTCAGCCCGGAGCTCTGTGGCTGAGCTCGCTTTGCCCCCAACACCCCAGAGAAGCTTCCAGCGGATCCCAGCCCCCCTCCCCCCGGCGGGGGGCCA